AAGCCTTCAAAAACCATACTTATAGTTACACTAGCGAAAAATCCAATTAGTAACATTTAGTATATTTTTAATTTGAACAATAGGTAGAATACAAAAAAAATTTTTAATTAAACATTTTTTAAAAATTATACTAGTTTTCTGCACATTTCTAACGTTCAGCAGTATTTTGAATTCTTTGTCATGATCATATTTTCTCTCTATTTTTTTTTTTCACATATTTAATATTAATTTTTTTTTCAAGCTTAGACATATTAATATGTCTAAGCTTGAAATATATACGAGTTTATCTTGGTTCAAAAGTTAAAATGATTAAATATGTGAAAAAAATATTTATTTAGTTATAGCTAAATAATTATTTTTATCTAGACTCAAGTGTTACTAAAACTGTGAAATATGACAATTTTGGCTACCCTCCAAAGGTTATAGAACATGTACATTTTGGGAATCTCTATAAACTAGTAAGCTGCAATAAAGTAAACTTCTTACATTAAAAATCCTTATTAATGTTCTCGAGATTGATTATCATCTTCAGATCATCATTCCAAAGCTTTGATTCTGTTTGGTATCTTACAAAAAATCTTTGATTTTGTTCAATTCTGTTATTCATCTATCAACATCAGTTGAAAAATAGATCTTTCATATCTATTTTTCAACTGATTCAACAAGAATTGGTCTCAAAAATATTAATCAAAGTGTTAGGACTTCCTAATGTAAGGAGTTTATGTATTTATTTTGGTTAGTTTAAATAAAGAAGTTAAGATATGTCATGCAATCCAATAAGACTACATGTTACTTTTATTTTTTGAGTTTCATTTTCAAAATTTGAAATATACTCACTTCAAGTTATCTAAATTTATACTTTAAAAATTTTCAATTAACTGTATTTTCTTAACATGAATTTAAATATGAATGTCAAGGAGAATAATAGCAGGTTCAATTTATCCAGTAGTTTGAATTAATCAAATTTTTCTGTCTTTGATATCTGTGTAATATATATATATATTCATATGTGAGATTGAATCAAAAAGGTGACAGTAAAATATCATAAATTACATGTTTCAAATCATGTTCAAAAATATTCATTTCTAAGAACCTTAGACTATTTAACAATACAGAATTGCATCTCACATTTACTTTTGATGTAATGTTTATTTACTTTTCTTTATGCAATATAGAAAATGTTGGTGTTGATATTAAGAATAGTGTTTAAGTTATTAATAAAATTTAATTGTAAAGATAGCTAAATCATTAAAGGTTTGCATGAAAAATATAGTTAGATCTGCCATAAAGAAAAAAACTATTTATGAATAGATCAGAAGATTTAAATAGAGTCCTAAAATAGTTGAAGTCCTTTATGTGTAAAGGACCAAATATCTTAGGATCTTAATCTTCTAAATATGAAACTGTTACAACTGCTTAGAGATTTATAAATGGCTGTATCCAAATAATTTTAACTAAGAATTTAGCCAAGCCTTTCATTCATCCACACACAAGAACCCTATTATATCCTGGTAATAACAAATTTTAATTAAAACTAACATTTTTTACCATAATCATGGTCTTCCTCAGGCTTTTGACCAGTACAATTCAAATATGGAACGGAACACATTAACCTTCCACTCAACAAGTGTCTAAAACATTTCATGTAAAATAATGAAACAAAGAGTAGACCTTGCTGTTAGTCTTTCAAATTAAATAGATAATGTTGCACAGGATTTTATGCAGAGAATTTTAATTGAAGATGATACTCAGATCAATAAATATGATCCAAACAGTAAAATTTAGTTCAAACAATAGTTCCCAAAGAGTCATGTGGACTAATCAAGTTTAAATCTGAGAGATCAGTTCAAAAGATAATAGTTATTGTTTTTTCAGGATTCCAAAGTAATAATTTTATTGGATATTCTTAACAGACTAAAGATCATAATAGGAACTTTTCTACAAATAGGTTCTAATTAATTGAAAGCTAAACTTTTGATTTAAGTAGAATCTGTTCAATTTAATACCATGAGAGTTGCATTCTGTTCTTTTCTGCCATGGCAATGCATTTGAACACATTTCCAAGATTCAATTTATTATGGAAATGATCTAGAATGGTAGAAATACTTTGAGAATTGCATGCCCTAATTCTTCATTTAATAACAACAGCTAGATTGGATTAAATTTGATACTAAATGTAATAAAACTACTGTTTGATTGATCAATGTATTTGCTACATATTTTGTTAAGTAAAATTTAATTTCATTTTTCTAGGCAAAGTTTTGATTCATGCTTGCATCTACAATGTGATCAATGTGTATGGTGTATATGTGCTCAACATTCATTTGATATTTTTTCTACACAGTATAACCCAAATTATCCAAGGTAATGAATGTGACCAATGCTTCCTTGGATAACTGAAAACTTGGGTAAAACAAATGGTCATGGCCACTCTGGATTAAAAATTACAAATATAAAAGATTTATCTGGTAGCACTTTTTCTTAACTTAAGTCTCTTTTTATACCATAGTGAATTTAATCATATATAAGAAAAACAATTTTTAATCATTTATTATACAGTTAATGTATAGTTAAGTAGTTTAAGAGGAAAAATATGTATTGTCGTAGTTATGTTTTAATACGAATGAAGTTAAAATGATAAAAGGTAACAAACAAATCATTTGGCAATATATATTATCATTTTAAACTTTCTTTTATGAATTACAACTTAATGTGAGAATCAGGATTTAAATGGGGGGAGTCATTTTTAAAGAAATTAGTGGATAAAAAGAATGTTTTTATTTTCGACTAAAAAAATATTTTATTTTGGAGAGAAGTTAAACAAAGAAAGGATGTAGCTTTTATCATTTTAAAAAGAAGGAAAGTAAACTTCCTTTCCTACGGCTGACTTTGGAAGTTGAGTCAGAAGTGGTCGCTCATGTGACCTGGCCGTTTGTTAGGTCATTAACTTGGATAAAAGGGACATTCCCTCCACTCCAGGCAGTTCTCCAGTAATTGCCACATAAGGCACAGTTCCTGGAAGAGAATTTGCCATGCAAATTTAACAGTTTGAATTGGCCATACTACGCCCTGTTCAACAAAACTACTGGTTCTATTAGAAGATTCTCCTCATATGTATCTAACATGTATGAACAAAGAAAAGTATTGTTAAGGTAGTATAAATCATTAGAAATATTGTAAACTCTCTTTGCAAGATAGGTATAGTTTGTAAGATAGATAATCTGGTATCTCCATGAGGATAGGCATAGCTTATATTGTTTATAATTCCATTTATTTGCATTATTATGTCATTTGTATTTTTATTGATCATTTGTATTTTATTGTAATTATCCCTTTTATTTGTTTATAATAAATTTATTGTTATTAGTATCAAATGATCTCCTGCATTTTCCCACTCGTTCAACTGTTAATCCTCTTATGATTTATTCGGATGTTGTTACTCAAACTTCACAGATATTTATAATTAGAAGTAACGAAAGTTGAGGAAAGTGTGCAATGGATTGTAATATGAAATTTCAAACTTTTAAAGAACAAATGGACTTTTAAAGAATGATTTTATTTAAATTTGGATAAATCTTGGAATTTATCTATTAAAATAAAATAAGGGAAAATAATCATTAAATTAATACAAAATACTTTGTTTTTTGCATGTTGTATTGAATGAAATAATGCATTTTACTTAAATATTGAATAATATTAAAATACAAAATGACTGATGATTGAAAAATATAAAGTATTAGAAAAGTAAATAAATTTGAATATTAAAAGAGGGCTGGCCATATGGCTGAGGTGGTTAAAGCATCAACCTACAGCTCTGAGGATCCAAGATTGAATCCAAGCAAGTGAGAATCCCAGGAATTTTTTAGAGGTGGTGTGTTTCAGATAAGTTGGATCCCATCTCATCATTTGGCTGCCCCATTGTAGTTCAAGTCAAACCCATGATGGGTATGGAAAAAAGCTCTCTTAGTGTCCACGGGATAAGTGTCCAAAATGAAAAAAAAAATTAGAAAGGTGTAAAAGGAAAACAAATCTAAATATCAAAAGATATGGAATGAGTGATGTAATGAGTAAAAAAATATAAGATATAATATCTTATATTTTTTTATACAGTAGAGCATTGATTATCCAAAACAATTCGGGACTGGGGTTGTTTGGATAACTGATCATATATGAAAAAATATATTAACCTATCCCGTAGTGAAATTTTTCTCCGTTGCATGTCGCTTCACATTGAATTTTGTCAATGGTAAGCCTAATGAAAATTTTTTTAAAATAATAATCATGGCTATTGTATTGTTAAAAATTATTTTCACAAACAAAATAAATATATTTTTAAAAAAAATAATTATATTTCAGAAGTTAATCTATTATCAAAAACATTCCAATTCAGCACAACACATGTCATGACACAGTCCTCAGAAAAATACCACACAAAACAAGCAAAACTCTTTCTTTTTCTTGGGTTTATATGGAGATGTTTTAGGCTATATTTTCAGCGAATAACACCATTCATGATGGGAAACAAAAGCCTCGTTCAAATACTGGCGCATCCTTAAGTACCCTCTCAATGTGTGTTGTGCTGAATTGGAATCTTTTTGATACTAGATTAACTTCTGAAATAGAATTTTTTTTTTGTTTTTATATTTTTCAATATATTTATTTTGTTTGCGCAAAATAAAGAAATAATTTTTAACGATACATAATGGTCACGCCAGCACTGCCAGCTAAAACATGCACACCAACAAAAATAATATTGGAGTAGCCCAAGACAGCCAAATATTGCAGCGCCACAGCACTAGCGGAAATTTGAATTTGCCGACTGGAAAGCTTTTGGTTGATTGGTATTCGGATAATCGATGCTCTACTGTAATTCTTAAATCAGATTGAAATAATTTATTTAGAAATTTTTCAACTATTGATTATTAATACAATGTCTAATATAATTTTTGATTTTAGGAAATACCACGTACTCCTGATCATGCACCTTCACGAACATTTTATTTGTTTCATGTTGATTTGGTTCAGGTAATCATTTCTATTATAAAAATTATAATACATAATTCCAATTCCTATATCTAGAAAAATTAAACAAATAAAAAATAGATTTTTCTTTATTTATTTTCAGCTATGTCGATCATTATTAGATAGATGCTACAAAGTCATGTTTAATTCGATATGTCATAGAGAATTTATAAATAGGGAACACAAAAGACTTTTAGAGAAAAAGCAGAGGGTGGAAGCAATAACTGCAACCCTTCAACAGAGTGGTGCTGATAGTACACAGATTCAAGAAGTATGTTAATAATGTAGAATCATAAAGACAGTAGAGCATCGATTATCTGAATCAATTAGGGACTGGGGTTGTTCAGAAAATCAATTTTATGGATAATCAATTATGTATGAAAAAATATATTAATCTATCTCATGTTGAAATTTGTTCAAATCTTGGCACATCCTGGTACCCTCTCATGGTTGTGCCAGTGCTGCCAGCTAAAGCACGTGCACCAACAAAAATAATATTGGAGTATCCCAAGACATAGCCAAAGATTGCAGCACCACAGCACTAGTGGAAATTTAAATTTGCTGACTGGAAAGCTTTCGGTTAATTGACATTTTGGTTGATCAATATTCAGATAATCGATGCTCTACTGTATAAATAATTTATATTCAATTTTAAAATGATTTAGAAAATTTGGATTAAACTACTGAAAAAATTTTAAGTTGTTACATAAAACAAAAATATAAATTCTTATTATTTCTACTTCATTTTTATGATCAGGGAAAATACTCTTTATAGCATAATTTTGAAAATTAAATAAATTCTAGATGAGTAATTTTTGAAGTGTGGTCCACAGACTGTACATTGAGAATTACTGATCTAGAATTTATTGCAGACTAGAATCCACGGACTGATCTAGTCATTTCCCTAAATAGAATTTTATGCTGTTTAGTCAGAGAAAAGAAAATTTTCATGCATCACATATCTTTTGCATTAGGTTATCAAATAGACTATAGATAAAATATTTTGGTACACATCTAAGGTGATATTTACAATATAAGATGTGGACAGGGACATAAATTGTCCACTTAGGCACCTATGATTTGATTTAAGTAGCCGATAGATTGACTAACTTTGAGAACCACTGTTCTAGATCAAATTTCACTAATTGAGTAATTTAATATGCTAACAATTAAAAATTTAAGCTGTTTGATTATGAGAATCTATAAGATGAGATTGACAAAAATTTGGCAATAATCATGTAAATATTTCAGAAATACTGTATTTGTAGAGTAAATAAAAACTATATTAAAATCTAATTTCATAAATTTGGGAATATCTTTGTTACAAAAAACCACAAAGAGTGAAATAAGAATAGAACTACAATTCAATAATTTATCTGAGTGAAGAATTATAAGAAACACTTGGAAGATAAAACCAGTATCAGAATGTGGAAAAATATTTCAAAAGGTGAAGATACAGAGCAATTTATCCACAAGTTCTAATCCAATTGTATACATCATTAATTTTTGAGCTATCTAAATACTCATAACTAGAGAAAGGATTTTAAGATGCAGCACCTTTCCAAAAATATAGCTTTTTTCATACAGATAGTTTAATATATATATTTTGGGGAATGAAATGAAGCAAAATGAATACACTGTGTTGCATCTTTTTGTGAGATTAGCACGTTTCTCCCCCTTTACCCCTTTGACAATTCAGCACTGTTTTCCTCAAATATCTGCGTGTTTTTAAAAAATTGGACAGAAAAATTAAATTTAAAAATATTTTCACTCTTCTTGAACAGCTACGTAAAATTCCATGCCCTTATTTTGTAGAGTAGATCAAGAGCTATAAAATGGCATATTTACCATCATTGTAGCCCCAATAGTTCCCAAGATGATGTAGCAAAGCCTATGAAAGAAAATAAACTTTGACAGAACAGTAGCACTATTCACCAATTCTCTATGAGGTCCATGCCCACTATATAAAGAAGGCTCAGAAAAAGGCATTTCATTCTGGCCTTGGATTCTGTGATGGGTATTTGCTCTATATAGTTGATTAGTAGACCCCATCACGTATTGTTGTGGCTCAAAATGTATCTATTATAAATGTATAACACTTCCCTTGTGGGGGTAATTTTTTGAAAAATCCCTTCTTAGTGTACATTCTCTTGACGTACCCTATTAAAACACAAAAATCCGCATCTAAAATAGTATAAATAGAAGCAGAATTCTTTTCGGTAAGACTTAATCCTGTCCCTTCAGTGGGGTTGAATTTTGACATGTATATTATATAAAAACACGTGCGTATTCGAATGCAGCGTTGTGTCAAAATTTCAAAGGAATCAGTAGGAACAAATGAACATTACATTTTTATTTATATAGATAGATAGATAGATAGATGATGATCTGCTTTAGTTCATTTTCACGGAAAAGCAAACTTAGGTTGTCATACTCATAGCGCCATCTGTTGGACATAAAAGCCTTAACCCTAAATGATATCTTTTAATTTATATGAATGTTAATGGAATAATATACAGCCTATGTCCACCTTGAAGTTCCATTCTAAATATTGGTGAAAGAATTTTTGAAATTAGATGAGTAGTTTCGGAGATTACCCGCTACATCCAAACTTACAAACATTACCTCTTTATAATAGTAGAGATTAGTGTTGCACTAGTACAAACCAGAGCCCATTGTTCACAATAAAACCATTATGTATTATGCACTTTTAGAAGAATTCAAGATGCAATTCATTGAAACTGATGGTCTCATTCTTTGATGTGCTGTCTCCAATGTAATTATTGTGATTGATGAGAAGCAACACAGAGACAGAAAATAAACCAGCACATCTGGTACAACAATCATGCAAGGAACATTGAACTTCACAAGTCAAAACCTAAGCAAACTGTCTTGATGTGTCTTCACTTCAGGATCTGAAAAGCAGCAGTCATCAAGTGAGTTCAGTGCTGATCTTACCACATCATTAATCCAAACTATAAGCTTGGATTACTATTAATCCAAACTTTTTAAGATGTAGCAACTTGAGAAGACAAATGCTGCACAGTAATGCATTCAATGATTTATGCATGAAGCTGTGGCCAGGGCACATACACCATAAAAAAGTCAGGCTTGTGGTGAGCAATCAAGCATGCTGTATGCTTTTGGCTTTCCAATAACTGAAGGCCATTTACCTAACCTCAAGCATGTGACATGTATTGCACATGGTCTATACTGTGTTTGTGAATATATCAGGGAAGAATACAGTAAGGTAAATGACTTCATTGCTGCTCTGAAGAACACTCTTATAAAAGCCTCCAGTCATGAGAAGTCATTGGACTCTACCTACCACAATTTCCTATCATAACCAAAGTGGCGTAAATGGATGAGATGTGCAGTTTTAGAAAAATATATTTCTTGTTAGACCAGTTGTTCTCATCCAGGGGTACGAGCGTAAATTGAAGAGGTACATCTAACTTTCACTATAAAATGACGTATGTTAATCAATTTGCTGTAAATTATTAACACAAGAAACAAGAAATGACAAAAACTTGCTTTAAAATATCGCAGTATGAACATTGATTTCCCTTTTAACAGTCCAGATTTGCCCGTATATTTGTGCCGTTAGTGCCGAGTGAACCTGTAGTCTAGTAAAATTACGGTTTAACTGAGCATTAATGTTAGAATAGAAAAAAATTTTTTATTCTCTTCTATAATTATTGCTCAATGAGATTGGGGTCTTTTGTGTTTTTATTGGACTACTGGTATTAGGAATAACGAGGCCTGGATTGTACCCCTACCATGCAATGCATGTCACTGCATGCGTGCATTACTTGATATTTAGCAAATTTAGATATTACATTGTTTACAAAAATTGAAAGATTCGTTTATTGTTCTGCACATTATAAATTTACAGCCATTACTTTTAAGGTCAGTATACAATTATAATCTCTATTTAAAAACGTGGAAACCAAATTTTGAAAAAATTGCTGAAGATTTATCGCAACAAATATCCCATTAAATTTTGTTAGAAATTATTGTAGAATAATTTAAATTTTCTTTATTGTTAATTATAATTATTTATTTTTAGGAAATGTAATTTATGCAAGTATTCTGTGATTTTATATAATATACTTATCAAATAATAATAAATAAATGTATGTACCTGATTAAATTTATTATTATTTACGTAAAATAAGTAATTCACTTTTAGTTATAGA